GGGTTTGGAAAAGCACCAAAAGCTCAATTGGGGAGCTTGGAAGGGGGTCTAGAAAAAGTAAAAAACCCAATGTGTGGCTTGGAGGGGGTGCCCCAGATCCCCAATTCCAGCCCCCTAAACCCCAAACCCCGATTCCAGGTTTTCAGGCCCCAAATCCCAGGTCCCAAATTTTTTGCCAACCAAGCCCAAAATTTACCATTCCAGGCTCCACCAGACGCCCTCCAAGCCCCCCAATTGGGTTTCTTGTGCTTTTCCACACCCTCTCCAAGCCCTGAAATTATTTCAAACCCCCTCCAAAACCAGCAAATGTGTTTTTTTGCTTTTTCCCGACCCCCTCCAAGGCCCCAATTTGGGTTTTTAGCATTCTCCAGACCGACTCCAAACCCGCAAATTGTGCTTTTTGACCTTTTCCAAGCTCCCTCCAAGCCCCCAAATTGGGCTTTTTGGCCCTTTCCAAACTCCCTCCACGCCCCCAAGGTTGTTTTTTTTTGCCTTTTCCAGACCCTCTTCCAAGCCCCCAAATTGAGATTTTTTTGCGGTTTAGCGCTGAATGTAGGGCGAGGCCGTCCTAAATCTAGGGCTAACGGTTTAAGGCCGCCCTAAATCTAGGGTTAGCGGTTTAGGGCTAAATCTAGGGCGATCAGGTTAGGGCCGCCTTAAATCTAGGGCTAACGGTTTAGGGCCGCCCTAAATCTAGGGTTAGCGGTTTAGGGCTAAATCCAGGGCGAACGGTTTAGCCCACGAAGATTGATGAAGTGCCCACGAAGATTGATGAAGTGCCCACGAAGATTGATGAAGTGCCCACGAAGATTGATGAAGTGACCACGAAGATTGATGAAGTGATCAGCTCTAAACCTAGGGCTAACGGTTTAGGGCCGCCTTAAATCTAGGGCTAACGGTTTAGGACCGCCCTAAATCTAGCGCTAACGGTTTAGGGGCCGCCCCAAGTCTAGGGCGGACGGTTTAGCCCACGAAGATTGATGAAGTGCCCACGAAGTTTGATGCAGTGATCACCTGAAAACGTCAAGTGCCCACGAAGCCATTAAGGTTTAAATTACTATAGGTAGAGAGGTTTAGGGTTTGGGGTTTAGGGTTTACGCAGCTCTCTTTTCCTTGCTGCAACTGCAGTGCGTCTGCTCGCCTGTCCGATGCAGGCAGACTCAGGCGCGATGGAACGGCCGCCGTGCCTAACGATGATTGGCTGCATCAAGTTTTCTGGCTGGTGCTTCTGAGCCGTCCGGCGTTGTCTGCACAGGCTGCGTGGCTGCCAACCCCGCTGGTGTACGTGGCTCAGCAAGACTCCGATCATGCATGATTGCAGAGTTTGCTTCCACCCATGCATTCAAGAAGATGTCCTTTGCTACTGACGGATGGATTGCGTCTGGATCGCGCGGTTCTGCTAGTAGGGGGTTGCAGCGTGCTGCCAGCAGTGTCAGCACCGTGCTCTTGTCATTAGGGTTTAGGGTTTAGGGTTTAGGGTTTAGGGTTTAGGGTTTAGGGTTTAGGGTTCGACAGCGCAGTTTTTGGACTGCGCAAGGCGCCCCGAACACTTATGGCGCAGCGAAGCGTTACATAGTTCAGCTTCCTTTAAGGGGACTGATGTTTAATCCCTAAACCAATTTGTTAAAATCGGGTTTGTAGTTTTAGTGTTTGCGGTGTGGTCTGGGGCACTGAATTGGGAATTCGGGGCCTGGGGTCTGGGCCTGGAGCCTGGATTGGTGTCTGAAGCCTGGGTTTGGGCTGGGGCCTGGATTTGGGACTGGGCCTGGATAGCCTGGGCTTGGTGTCTGGAGCCTGGATTTGGGGCGTGCCTGGCCTGGATTTGGGGCCTGGGGCCTGGATTTGGGACTGGGCCTGGATTTGGGGTCTGGAGCCTGGTGCCGGCTTTGGAGCCTGGATTTGGGGTCTGGAACCTGGATCTGGGGCCTGGATTTGGGACTGGGCCTGGATTTGGGGTTACTAGGCCTGGATTTGGGGTCTGAACCAGGATTTGGGGCCTGGAGCCTGGATTTGGGGGCTTGGGGCCTTGATTTGGGACCGGGCCTGGATTTGGGGTCTGGGGCCTGGATTTGGGTGGATTTGGGACTGGGCCTTGGGATTGGGCCTGGATTTGGGGTCTGGGGCCTGGTGCCTGGCCTGGATTTGGGGCTTGAGCCTGGGACAGGGTCTGGGACCTGGGGCTTGGGGTCTGGAACCTGATTTGGGTCCTGGATTTGGGGCCTGGTGCCTGGATTTAGGCCTGGATTTGGGGTCTGGGCCTTGGATTTGGGGTTTGGGGCCTGGATTTGGGATTGGGCCTGGAGACTGGGGCCTGGATTTGGGACTGGGCCTGGATCTGGAGCCTGGATTTGGGGTGGGGCTTGGGGTGGCCTTTGGGATTGGGCCTGGGTTTGGGGTCTGGAGCCTGATTTGGTGCCTGGCCTGGATTTGGGGCCTGGGGCCTGGATTTGGGACTGGGCCTGGATTTGGGGTCTGGAGCCTGGTGCCTGGATTGGGGCCTGGATTTGATGTCTGAAGCCTGGATTTGGGGCTTGGATTTGGGGTATGGAGCCGGATTTGGGCGAGCCCCCAAATTGGGTATTTTTGCTTTCCAGAACCCCCTCCAAGCCCCCAAATCTGGTTTTTTTTTTGCCTTTCTCCAGATCCCCTCCAAAGCCCCTAAATTGGGTGTTTTTACCTTTTCCAAACCCCTCCAAGCACCAAATCGAGTTTTTTGCCTTTCTCCAGACCCCCTCCAAAGCCCCAAATTGGGCTTTTTCGCCTTTTCCGGACCCCCTCCCAGTCACCAAATTGTGTTTTTTTGCCTTTTCCAGACCCCCTCCAAGCCCCCAAATTGGGTTTTTTTGCCTTATCCAGACCTTTTTTCCAAAGCACCAAATTGTGCTTTTTCGCCTTTTCCGGACGCCCTCCCAGCCACCAAATTGTGCTTTTCGGCCTTTTCCAAACCCCCTCCAAGCCCCCATATTGGGTTTTTTTGCTTTTCTCCAAACCCTCTCCAAAGCAGCAAATTGGGTTTGGTGGCCTTTTCCAGGCCCCCTCCAAGCCCCCAAATTGGGTTTTTTTGCCTTTTCCAGACCCCCTCCAAGCCCCCAAATCGGGTTTTTTTCCTTTTTCCAGACCCCCTCCAAAGCCCCTAATTTGGTTTTTTTGCCTTTTTCAGACCCCCTCCAAGCCCCCAAATTGGGTGTTTTTGCCTTTTCCAGACCCCCTCCAAGCCCCCAAATCGCGTTTTTTCCCCTTTCCCCAGACCCCCTCCAAAGCACCAAAGCTGGCTTTTTGGCCTTTCTAGACCCCCTCCAAGCCCCCAAATTGGGTTTTGTCACCCCTAGCTTTACAACGTTTTCTTCCTCTCCAAGCGCCCAAATTGGGCGTTTTAGCTCGGTAACCCTGCCTTGCTCTGCTGTGCTCCCTTTTGCTTTGGTTTGGTGCCTTCAATTTACTTAAACCTCGGTTCGGGCTTTTGTTTCAATTTGCTTAAACTGCTTTTTGAGAAACTTACCAATTTACTTAAACTGAATTGTGGTTTTCGGTTGCTTTCCATCAAACTCGCTTTCCTTCTGCTCTTCAAACCACAACCTGCGCTGGCGCACTTTGGCGTAAGCCTCTAAAATTTAGGGTTTAGGGTTTAGGGTTTAGGGTTTAGGGTTTAGGGTTTAGGGTTTAGGGTTTAGGGGTTTAGGGTTTAAGGGTTTAGGGTTTAGGGTTTAGGGTTTAGGGTTTAGGGTTTAGGGGTTTAGGGTTTATAGAAATTGTTAAGGGTTTGGGTCCCAAAAACTATTTTGGGCACCGGCCGACCTTCTTTTCTTTTAGCACGAATAGAGAGGTCGGCCGGTCGAAAAAAAACCTCTGCATATGGCTTTTTCTACCGGCCGACCTTCTTTTCTTTTAGTACGACAGAGAGGTCGGCCGGTGAAAAAACCTGCTTTTTTCACCGGCCGACCTTTCTGTCGTACTAAAAGAAAAGAAGGTCGGCCGGTCGAAAAAGCCGCCCAGTAGTTTTTTTTTGCGAATCATATTTTGAAATTTGCGCTGGGCGGCTGGCTGGGCTGGCTGGGCTGGCTGGGCTGGCTGGGCTGGCTGGCTGTGGCTGGGCTGGCTGGGCTGGCTGGGCTGCTGGGCTGGCTGGGCTGGCTGGGCTGGCTGGGCTGGCTGGGCTGGCTGGGCTGGCTGGGCTGGCTGGGCTGCTGGCGGGCACCACGTTTTGAAATTTGCGCTGGGCTCGGGCAGCGGCTGGGCTGGCAGGGCTGGCTGGGCTGGCCGCTGGCTGGGTGGGCTGGCTGCGCTGGCTGGGCTGGGCTTGGGGAGCTGCCGGCTGGCTGGGCTGGTGGGGGCTGGCCTGCTAAAGCTCTCTGCGCTGGGCTGGCTGTGGTCGGGGTAGGGGTTGGGGCTGGGCATGGTTGGGGGCTGGGTTGGGGGGTTGGGGGTGGGGGCTTCCGGGCTGCTTGCTCGAGGATTACTTCCTTCAACAATCGTCCTACTCCGAAGTCTCGGTCCAGCCAGTCATGAGACACAGTTGAATGAAAGTGCGAAAAGCCGCCCTAGTTTCTTTTCGCAAACCACATTTTGAAATTTGCGCTGGGCTCGGGCTGGGTGGCTGCGGCTGGGCTGGTGGCCGGCCGGAGAAGGGGGCAGGGGGTTGGGGGCTGGGCTGCTGCTCGGGCTGGCTGGCCTGGGCGTTGGCTCTGCTGGTCTCTGCGCTCTCTGGGCTTGTCTGGGTGCTTGGCAGCTGGGCTGGCTACCTGCTTGCTCGGGGATTACTTCCGGACAATGCTTCGAGTTCTTTTGGGCCTTCAATAATCGTCCTACTCCGAAGTCTCGGGCCAGCTAGTCATGAGCCACAGTTGAATGAGAGTGCATTCGTTTCTCCATGTCAACAACAGTCACCATGTTTCTGCGCAAGTGCTCCATCCTGTACAGGAACACGGGGCGCGTAGCTTGGCTTGAGTCAGCGCTCGTCTCTGCACTGTGAGTCACATGCCCCAAGCTTTCAGCGGTGAGACTTAGAAAGGGACCATCGCGTAGGTTGTGTAAACTTGCACAGCATGTTGCATGTTCTCTATCAAGGCAGGCCCCCTTTGGAAAGCATCTAGCAAGTACACTCTGCCTTCAATTGGTATCAGAGCGGCCCAATAGCCTGCAGCGGCACTCCCTGTGGTGCTGCGGATTTGTAGCAGGCCGCTGGCTCCTGCTGGCCACGCACTGTACTCGCGCAAGAGTTGCAGCTTGAAGCCGAGCCTTTCCAACATGCTGTCGACATAGGGCGGCGAGAATATCACGCCGTTGCGAATCATGTGAGAGCTCCAGTCATGGACATACTCTTCTCGGTCAATGGCATATTCTGGTCTTCCGAAAGCGTTGTTGATGGAAACCTTGGCGCTTTGAAGCCGCTTCGTCTTCGAACTTTTGCGGTCGTCCAAGCTTTCGAAGTACAGAACATCTCCGGCAGGAGTGAGAAAGCTCCATCTCGGTTGGCACAGTTGCACCGCCCCATCTGCGAGAGGTACTTGAATGCCGGTCTCCAGTAAGCCTTCTTCCACAGCCCACTTCAAGCCAGACCTATTGTAAGGTGGTCCTGCCGCCATCGCTGCCAAATACTTCGTTTTCAAGATACGCCGAGCTCTCCACCATGCACGGCGCATGCCCCTCACAATGGCGTTTCTGCCACGCCAATATGTTCGGCGCTTGCACCTCGTCTTGATGTTTGCAAAAGGCTCCTTTACACGATACTGCCGATATCTCCAATGCAGACGGAAATCGCGATTCCCCTTGTGCCACTTGGCTTTTGCTTTCAAATACTTCTGACTGCCTTGGCTGATGTCCGGGCTAGCAGCAGGGATCGGGCGGCCCATCACGAAATGTTCCAAACGCTGCTTCTTCTTGTGTAGCCAACTGGTCTGCAAATCGAAGTCGCATCCTTCTCCGGCCCTTGCACGAAGAAGACAATGCTCGTTGGTAGATAGCGCACAGAGAGAACCCAGTCCAAAGGCAGCTTCGTATGTCGGCGACCCTATTCGGCGCCAGTGCTTAAGGAGCCTATGCAAGTTTCCTTTGGCTACGCGGGAAGAGAGCGCCTGCTGCAGCTTTTCTAAGCAGCACAACATGCAGCGCTTTCCAGTGGGCCGTGCTCGGCCGCCATTGCCATCGTGAGCGAAGATGCAAGGCCTGGCCAGACCGCCTGCAGGGTCCTCGAATCCAGCGCAGTAAACGGGCATGGCAAATGTAGAATGTTATCTGCTCGTAGCAAGGCAAGCCCTAATTTCGAACCTGTGCTTGTGCTTGCGACTCTGGGCCTGTTGAATTAATCTGCGCTGAATAGTGCTTCAAAACAGCGGCAGATATCGAGCACGGCTGTAAATGGAAATACTGTCCTTGAAGCACACACACACACACACACACGTCGGGCTGTTGGATCGCCTCATAAAAGGTCGAACCGAGCTCTGGGCTGCTGGACTGCACGCGTCTGCTTGTGTTGACGCTGCAGCAGTGGGGTCAGTGGTGACCGAGCAGGCTGTACCTTGAACTCCCAATCCTCTAAGTCCTAAACCCCAAACCGAAAGCTGGACTGCACACGTCCCTTGATTGACGCTGTAGCAGAGGAGTCAGTGGTGACTGCGCCTCATTCATCTTCGAACCATAATAGGTCGAACTGGGCTCCCGGTTGTTGCCTCAGGGTGAGGGTGCAGGCTGTACCTCATTCAGGTCGAACCATAATAAGTCGAACTGGGCTCCCGGCTGTTGCCTCAGGATGAGGGTGCAGGCTGTGCTTCATTCAGGTCGAACCATAACAGGTCGAACTGGGCTCCCGCTATTGCCTCAGCGTGAGGGTGCAGGCTGTGCCTCATTCAAGTCGAACCATAATAGGTCGAACTGGGCTCGCGCTGTTGCCTCAGGGTGAGGGTGCAGGCTGTGCCTCATTCAGGTCGAACCATAATAAGTCGAACTGGCTCCCGGCTGTTGCCTCGTGAAGGTGCTTCACAGGTCGAACCATAATAGGTCGAACTGGGCTCGCGCTGTTGCCTCAGGGTGAGGGTGCATGCCTCATTCAGGTCGAACCAGTGGGGGGTGGGCGGGGGTGAGGGAAGGGCGCACAGGCGTCCTAAACCCTCAAGGTCGAACCGGAATTTTGGCGGTTTTTTGGTGGATTTGGGGAGGGTAGGGTAGAGGCATGAAGAGGGTTGGGGGTTGGGGGGGCTTAGAGGGGGGGTAGGAAGTGCGGTGCAATTTGGGGCTGGTACTAAAAAGGGGGGGGGGTAGGGGGGGGTAGGGGGGGGGTACGGGGGAGTGGCAATTTTATTTTGGGAGTTGGAACTTATTTATTCCGTTATTAACCAGCTCCAGGTTCGTTTTGATTTTGGGATTGCTGTTGGGCCGGTGGAGAAGTCGTTTTTTTCTCCACCGGCCAACCTTGGAAGATATAGAGAAGAACAGAAGGTTGGCCGGTGCCCGAAGCCATTTCGGTAGTTTTTTTTTGCGAACCATGTTTTGGAATTTGGGGAAGGGGCTGGACTGGCTTGGCTGGGGCTGGGTATGGGCTTGGCCTGCGCTTGGCTGTCGGAATGGGCGTGGTTTGACCTGGGTGGCCTGGGCTGGGTGGTCTGGCTGGCTGGGCTGCCTGGGTTGAGGTTGTTGGGGCTGAAGTGGTTATAGAAATTGTTAAGGGTTTGGGTGCCAATAACATTTTGAGCGAAACGTTTTGAGTGAAAGTTGTGACCGAAAGTTTTGACCGAAAGTTTTTTGACTGAAACCACATTTTGAATTTGGGTTTGGGTGCCAACAACGTTTTGAGCGAAATATTTTGAACGAAACGTTTTGAGCGAAACGTTTTGAGCGAAACGTTTTGAGCGAAAGTTGTGACCGAAAGTGTTGACCGAAAGTTTTTGGACTGAAAACACATTTTGAATTTGCTGGGCTGGGCTGGCTGAACTGAACTGGCCTGGCTAGGCTGGGCTGCCTGGCCGGCTGGGCTGGGCTGGGTCGGGCTGCTCGGGCTGGGCTGGCTGGTGGGCTGGGGCCTGGGGCCTGGAGCCCGGGGCTTGGAGCTGGGCTGGGTTGCTTGGGTTGAAGGTTGTAGAGAAATTGGTTTATCAAGACGTTTGTTCCGTTTTTGAGCCCCAGCTCAATGTTGGCCGGGCCGTACCGGCTGTTACAAATTTGTAGAGAAATTGGTTTATCAAGAAGCTTGTTCAATCTTTAACCTGTGTGTTGGGCCGTAGCGGTGGTTACAAACATGGACAAGCAATTTCTATTTATCACTTTCTTGAGGGTTTAGGGTTTAGGGTTTAGGGTTTAGGGTTTAGGGTTTAGGGTTTAGGGTGTAGCATTGGTCTGCTGAACGCAATAGTATGCAGACATGCCCACCCCAAGACCACCCAAACACTACTCACAGCGAGCCAAAACCAGAGCCAGCCAACAACTATGCAAACACCATGAAACAATTGAAAGAAGAGCTGTTTTTGCCAAGGCACTTCCGCGATGCATCATGGCAAGAAGCTCCAGAAAACCAAAGCTTTGAGCACCAGAATGTTCAGCCGGACATGTGTGCAGGCCTGCCACGTGAGGACGGCTTTACAGTGGACCGAGTTGATGCAGTAAGGCAGCTCGGCTTGGGAACAACTCGCAGGACAAGTTGCAGAACACTTTTGCTCGAATGGGCAAGCAGTCAAGAGCTTCTCCGCGCGGCTTTGTGCACTGCGCCTACCCGGCTTGCATTTGGGGAAAATTCAGCGGGCCGGGACGAAGTGCTCAGACTTAATGCAGCCGCCCAACAGATAGTCGGCATCTCGTCGTACACGTGAGAGAGCCACATAGCCAGCGGCCGGGCAACCAGGCCTGTCAGGCCAGAAAGTTACATGCACAAGCTCGGCGCCTTGGTACTTGTGTACCGTGTCGGCATAGCCCAATTTGATTGGGTAATAGGTCAAGCGCCCTCCCGGAACGTCATCCGTTGTGATGGGGTAAACACAAAGGAGCTGCTTGCTCTCGGTTTCCACATGAATGGCCTGCTTGCGCCTATCGAAGTCCAGGACCACGGCGGACATGCCGTTAACGAAATCGTTGGGCTTGTCGACGTTGCGCGTCAGTCGGACCCTGAGACCGACGTAGAGCGGCAACGACAAAGGCTTCGGCAGTCTGTCCAGGAGCTGGCCGCAGTCATCGTAATTCTCGGGGTTGCACTCAAAGTCTGCTTGGACCTTGCCTAGAACTGCAGTTCGGGGTTGCCCGAAGAGGGCATCCAAACAGAGTCCATTGATCAAGGCAGCGCCTCGTCGAGTACAAGTGATGACAGTCGTTTGGCCGTTGGTACGCTCCAGAAGACGCTGAATGTCTTCTGTCGTCGGCTCATGGTGACCAGACCAGGCCTTGTGCTTGCGGCAAAGATCACGCAGCACTTGGCTACCTTCTTGTCCCATGGGACGGTTCTTGCGTAGATACATCAACTTGCCCAGCAAGGGGTCACCACTCTCTTGTCGCCAAACATGATGCAGTTCCACTTTGCACACTGTCTTCCACTTCGGGTGCTGGGCGAGATTTCTTTGATTGCGATCCGGCGGAGGAAGCTGCCATTCATCACCCGCCATCACCAGACACGGCACCTTAGCAGCTGCCAGCCACATCTGGTCCAAGCGACCAAAGTGCTCTTCGACTAGCTGGAAAGCTTCATCAATGACAATGAGGTCGTACGCTGCCAGGATGCCCAACGACTCGTTCAGGGGCTTGTGGAAAAGGAAAGCGCCGTGGCAAGTGTCCAGCTCGACATTTGGGTGTCGCTGCTTCATGCGAGCTCTTTGCACACCGGTAGGCAAGGCCACCAAGACACGAGCTCCCAAACCAACGGCCCGGCGAATGCAACGGTCCAAGACGGCCGACTTACCAGTCCCCGGTGCTCCAGTAGCTGCCACCATGGCCCCATGCTCTTCTGCAAGGCCGAGCAGGCGTTCATACTCCACGTCGTCCTCGGCCAAGCGTACACGAAGCGCCTGGTCGACTCGACGGTTGATGTGGTTCTCCAGCAGGGTCTGCTGCGCAGTGAAGTGGAGCTCATCGCCGGCATCGGCATCAGCGTAGCTCAATTGCATAGGAACCACAGCATTCGCACGGAGCACAAGTTGCCCGTCGAGGTGTTGCTGCACGAACCCTTCCTGAGCCGAGACCATGCTGAGCACCGTCTCGATGAATGCTTCTCGGTGCGCTCGAACAGCCATGTAGGACCGAATGGCGGCCGGCTGCCGCCAAACTTCCGGAGCCCAATGTAGAGCACAGGCGAGAAATTTCACGGCGTCGGGCACGCGGGCCACGATCTCCGGCACGAGGAGGTCCTCGAGCTTGCGGAAGGGAACGTGGAGGGCTAGCCACTGCCCGAAGAACTTGTCATTCATCATGGACACCATCTCTGCGGCAATGACTTTCTCGCCGAAGGTTTCGTAGCTCAAGGCATACGCCTCCAGGGTATCTTGACGGCCTGCAGACGCATGGGACTTGCGGATGTGTTCCAGAATTGCGCCCTTGGCATTCACTTTTCGAAGGAATTCGAGCAACGTCATCTCTCCTCGCCAGCCAGCAGCCTCGTACTGCAGGACATAGTCCGGCTTGCGTGGCATCCCGGGATGCGGGGCGATAATTGGGCGCATCGTCCCACCAAGGAAGAACATCGGGAAGGCCTGGCTCGCCAGCAGCAGCCACATCTCCGGCTCACCGGGATGGAATGTGAAGAGCACACGTCTCGCGGCTGCGTAGGCGCTACTGCTGTCGTCCATAAGCTCCTTTCCAGGACCGTCACTGAACTTTGGAAGGTAGGTTGCGGCGTATTTCAGCATGAGCCCAGTGCCTCGCTGCACCTGCACATCTTGGTGGCACTTCAACACATCGAGAAGCTCGGGGCTGTATCCTCGGATGCCCAAGTGCTTGTCCAAACGACGGTGCTCCAAATGGACGGCATCTCCTATAGGATCAAAGTAGCTCGCCTGCTCTTGAATCGGCAATCCACTACCCGTGCGGCCAGCTTGCCCGTCGAGCACGTAGCCTCGCAAAGAATCACCTTCCGGTGGAACAGTCCCACAGATCTTCGTGTGAAGCTGTGAAGGTCCAATTTCTTCGGCAAAAACCAAACCATGCAAGTGCACCGCTGCACGCCCGTGGTAGTCCTGGGAGATTTCCCGACGCTTCCCGTCTTGAAATTCGAGGCGGCCAACGAAGTTGACGCGAACTCGACTACCATCGCTACGGCGATTGCTGAAGAGGGAATTGTTCCAAGTAGAAGTGGCGTCGCCAAACTTACGACCGCCTCCGCAAACCCATTCTCGAAACAGCTCCGTCAGGAGATGGGCTAGATGTAGAGCTTCAGGCCCAGCCAAACCGAGACGATGTCGTCCAAGATGCTCCATCTGGCGTAAAATCCATTGATGATATGGTGCGGACCACTCGAATGGGGCCCAAGTGAAGAAGGCCACCGGGAAGCCGCACTGCGCTTGCATGTCGAGCGCAGCAGCGTGCCGAACTTTCCAATATTGGGGCGTCCATGGCGCTCCTTTCAGCGCTCGCCACATCGGCATCCCATGCAAAGCACCTTTCTTACCCCCGACATCGGACCACATGTAGAGGTCGAAGACAAAGTGCAGCAGCTCGTGATCCCCGGCATAATCCGCGATGGGGCCCATTGCCTTCGCAAGGAAAGATCGTCGCAGGCTCTGCCGCGTGGCTTCCTCCAGTTCGTCCTCTGCCTCATCGGAGTCGCCGGCGTCAGCCCGACATGCCTGTGCCCGGCTCTGGCGGCGGACGTCTGCGAGTCTCGCCGACGTCTCGCAGAGGCACCGATCCCAATACAGGTGTGGCCACAAACAACACTCCACGGCATCTTCTTCTATGAACCGCAGCGGTCGTTTTCGCCTATCGGAGTCTGCAGAGGGGTATTCGCGGAGAAAGCGGCGATGTCGCACAAGGAAAGCCGAGTAGTAGGAGTCGTCGCTGGCCAGGAGCCACTTGAATGCCTGATCACAGAGGAAGATACGGATTTTCAGAAGCTTACAGACAAGTAACAAGCAATGTCAAGCAGAAGAAACAAGTTGCAAACCCGCCTTCTGAGCCTTCTTACGGCTGGTGTTGTCCAAGGCTCGGATCTTGTCCAGCACGTCCGACTCGGACCAGGAGAGTCTGATCATCGTGCTGTGGAAGAAATACCCGTAGTCTGCTTTCCACTCCGGCCCGCAATCGATGTCCAGGGGCCGCAAAGCAAGCAGGACCTCGCGAGACAGCCCTCGCAAGGGGATTGGCACCTCGTCTGATGAGGGCACCCAGAGTCGCGCCGCTTCGGGCTTGCTGCAGTTTTTGCATCTGGCCAGCGCGGTGGGCGCCTTCTCGCTGAGATCTGCTTCCTTGAGATGCCGAGGCTGCACACTTCCGCAGCACGAGCACACTTTCCAGGAATGTTGCTTGCACCAGGTCTCCAGAGATGTGGCCGTCGCACTCACGCGGGCGGCAGGCAAGCCCGTGTCGTTGGGGGCGAGATCATGGACCTGTGTCAGCAAGTCCGGACTCATAGGGTTTCGCCACCGGAAATTGGCATGGCGAACGAGGCGATCTCTTTGTGGAAAGAACTTGCGCCGCGCATAAGCCCGGTCGTCCGCCACCCCCTCACGGTACTCCTGCAGTTGAGCCGTGGTCGGAGCCGCAACCACGGACTGCCGCCAACTGAGTGCTGCGTCCTGGCTCATGCGGCTTGCGGCGGTGGCCCGAGCTCCTGTCCGTACAGGACGTTCTGCTGAGGCACGCAGTTGTTGACGGACAGCATCAGGAGCCGACGTCAAGGCGCTGTTGGCAAAGGCCTCCTCGAAGATAGCGGGCGCCTTAATCCTCCATTGCTTCAGAAGCCGAACTATGCTACCACGGCCTGTTGGTGTTTCAAGAGTTTTCGCCATAGCCACCGGGCTGCAGAAGATGCACAGATGCGCATGCATGCCTCGCGCCGGCGAACCAGATCCATCGGCAGCATAGCGACAAGCCTGCCCGGGTAATCCTCGACAAAGAGTCTGTTGGTCCCGTCGGCTGGTGCGGGGCCGCTTGCGCTTGGACCCGCGCGGCGACTGACAAGCCGCCTGCCCAGAATCCGATGACAAGGAGATAGTGCCGTCCCCGTTCGTCGACAGTGGCCGTGCTTTGGCGAGTGGGCGAGCAAACACCATGCCGAGCGAAGAGAGTTGAGGCCGCGTGCACTGCTCTGCAACTCAAGACAAGAAACGGCTGCATGTCGACGTTGCTTTGGCCATTGCCAGGCGCCGAATGTACAGAGGCTCTCCACGCACTACAGCGATCTACGGAAGCATCTGCGCATTTCTCATGGGTTGTACAGCGACTGCAGTTCCTCAATGCCCCAACAGTGAATAAAGGTGGATAATGCTTATTGGAGCGTTGCTCAAGAGGCAGCGACAGCAGTTTTCAACTTAAGTTCTGTACGTGGAAGCTGAACGATCTCAGACACTTAGAACATGACAAAACCTGTTGTCGCTGCTCCGAATAACGCGACGACACGCTCCACTCAGTCATTGTCGGACGTCACAAGGTCGAGCTCTGGAACAGCTTCGGTCCGCAAGCTGAACGGAAAGATCCGGCGAACCTTGCCGTCGCGCTCTGCGGCGATGCCGGAGTCAGCCTGAGATGCTTTCTCCTTTTTGCGTTCCACATGAGATTCGTGAGATTCCTTCTTCTTGGATGACTGCTTGTGCGCGGCGTCGGGTGCGGTAACGGAGTCCTCGAAGTCGGCAAGATCGGGAGTGATTTTGCCCAGCCGCACGAGGGCTTCTTCATAGACATTCATGCTCTTCTCGCGGAAAACCTGTCAAGGCTATCAAGGCACACCCAAACAACAGCGAACATGCGACGGGCGTTTGCTACCAGTTGCAGCTGTGGTGCCCGAAGTGTCCGCACCACGGTCAACTTGCCAGCAGGACTTTCCAGCATCGCCTCAAGCCTCTCAGCGTCGCAGAACAAACAGCGCTTGCAGCCGGGGCTTGGCTGCGCAGGCAAGCCCGGTCGCGACTGGGAGAAGCAGCAAGCGGTGCTCGACATCCCGACGCAAGCGCGGGGCATAATGAAAAGCGAAAACGGGCTCCGCCGCAAGGCAAGTATGTATGCTGCGGAGCAGCCAGGTGGAGACCGCGCTTGAACATGATCTTTCGTGTGGGCACAGCGATGGCGGCAGCACTTTTTTAGCGACGGCGCTCTCAAGCAGTTCCTACAAAGCTCCAACAGTGAATAAAGGTGGATAATGCTTATTGAAGCGTTGTGTGTAAGCACCAGGCACGGCCTAGAATTCACGGGCACAACATCATAGCCTCGTGTGTATTCAGACTGTGTGCAGCTGGAAGAATGAAGAATTCTGCTGTGCCGGAGTTGATTTTCTGTACAATACGACATCTCGCCTGAACATTGTTTCCCGCTACATTTGAAGGAGTCACTTGTCGGATGGCTCGGCTGCCACCTGCAAAGCCTCCTCCAGGGTGGCGGACAGCTTCTCCAGCTCTGCCAGAAACTTCCGAAGATTCTCGGTCTTGGGGTACCGCGTCTTCTGCAGGAACACTTCTATGATGCTCTTCAGACCCAGATGTGCGATGGCGGAGGATGGCACCGTCTTCAAAGCTTCTTGAAGAGTGCCGATGGGAGGACGCTCCTTCGAGTCCTTGGCCACGTCCTTCAGCAGCTTTTGCAACTTGCCCAGCGCTTCTGCTGTGTAGTCTCCGAGCTCGAGCACGGTCTCCGGGAGAGGCTCAGGGGAGGAGTCCATGTCGAGCGTCTTTGAGGCTTCAGGCTCCTCGTCTGAGGCCAGCGGATTGCCAGGGTCGGCTGGCGTCTTTCGCGGCTGCTTTCTGCTGGCGAGTCGGCGCGGCGTTTCGACCCCTTCATCATCTTCATCCTCATCGAGCCACGGGCGACTGTAGTCTTTGTAACCGTCATATGAGCCTTCAGCCGGCTTTTCGTCCCAATCGTCAAAGGCAGATGCACCGGATCGCTTCTTCGTATTCTCGACCTTTTGCTGATGGAAAGCCGCCACGAACGAATTCAACATGGCCTCTTGGTCTTCAGGCTTCTTCAGCCATGCTTTCGAGGGACCCGGCAAATTGTAGTCCGCACCGGTTTGACGAACTCCGGCTGCCATCACTTTCGGGTTATTGAGCGCAGTGATTGCCTCGAGGCCTTCAAATGCGAACAAGTATAGCCGTGCAGAGAACCTCGCCAATTTCTTAAAGCAAAGTTCTTTCTTTGCCGCCTCAGTCGTAAAGAAGCGAAGGTAGCGCCTCACGGCCTTAGATGTTTCGTCCTCGCTACGCTCGATCTCTGTGTTGGAGGTATTCAAGTAGTTGCATGCCGCGAGAAACTTCTGGCCATCGGCTGACTCGAACTCCTTCAGCAAGTCGCGAATGCTCAGCTTGCGAAGCGCCGTTTCGGCATCCTGGGAGAAGTGATGCCCCAGCAACGCGGCCCCCACCTCCAGATTGGCGGCGCCTTCGGACAGGGCCACACCTTGCCGGGCACAATATTCTGAGCATGTTTGGCCGAGAACTTCCTGAAGATGCCAGCTGGTCAGCAAGTTTGTCTCTTCCGTTGTTCCAACGAACGGACTGCCGGCCTGATCCACATAGGGCCGAAGGAAGTACTTCGACAAGCGATCGCCCCAGGGCACTTTGCGCACCCAGTCCTTCTTAGCGGGGACGGCGCCGCCCTTCCATGGCGCGGCCTTTTTACCCTTCTTGCCGGTGCCCTTGGAGCCGGCGATGCGTGATTTACCCAGCATGGCTGTAAGGGAGACAGAGGCACTATCTGCAGAGCCGAAACGGCTGCACATGGGACGTGCGTCAGTCTTGTATGGAAGGCTGTGGCATGGCAGCAGCCGAACAGATGTAGCACCTTGGCCATGTACTGTGGACGCACCCACAGGAAATCTCGATGCAGAAGATTTCGAAGCAAACGTGCCTGCAAACGAGATCACTTTTTTCGCGCAGTAGAGGCCGACAGCACATGCACGAATTGGTGAGACGCCTAGCCCAACAAACAATATACGGCTTGAAGCAACAAAACGGCGTTGGGCATGCCCGGCCTGAGGGGGTTCCCCCCCAGCACCGGGGAGGCAAGGTGTTGAGTCTGCCGATACGCTGCTCCTGACCCGAGCGGTCAGTGGGTCGTGCTTCGCACCCGGCGTTCGGCCCACGAGCCGCCGCGCTGTCGCGGGACCCGGTCCGCACCGTAGGGAGGCCGATGCGCCTCGGCAGGGACTCTCGCACCTACTTTGAAAGGTTTTCTGAAAAACCAAGGTGTCTGCATTCGCAATTTTCGGGCGCACGAACGCGGAGGCAAAAAAAGCGCCCAAAAGCGCACCCAAAAAAAACGGCCACTGCTCCGGGAATAGGAACAGTGCCACAAATTTCGCCCCCCACGGACACGCAAAAACCCGAAAAAGAACAGGGCAGGCCGTCACGCGCGTCACGCGCGTCACGCGGAGACGCGTGAGAAACGTCACGCGCGTCACGCGCGTTCGGCCGAAAAGGCCGTCACGCACGGCCGCGTGACGCGCGTGACGCGCGTGACGTCGGGCTCCTGGGCACCCGGCGCGCGTGACACGCGTGACGCGCGTGACGCGCGTTACGCGCGTGACGGGCTTTTCGTGTTCGTGTCCCGGGGCGTCCCGGGGAGGGCCTGGGACTCCGGTCCTGGGGCGTCCCGGGGGGGGCCCGAGACAATTGTCCCGGGGGGGGGGGCCCGCGACTCCCCGAGACAACCCGGGACAAGGTCCCGGAAGGGCCCCGGTACAAGCGGAGTGAAGGGTTAGGGGGCCGCCGGCTTTTGGCATCTTCCGGGTTGGGGGCAACCCGGGTTGGGGGGGGGGCAACCCGGGTTGGGGTCCGGGAACCTCGCGAGAGCAATGTTGTCGGGTTTAGGGTTATTAATATATACTGATACAGTGGCTTGGCGACTAAGCTTGGCGACCCCTCAGTGGTGTGGTCGGCAGGCTCTGCAGCCTAGCAGAGCCTGCCATGGTCTCGCTGGCGCTCGACGGCGCCCACCTACCCACAGAAGGAGAGGGGTGGTGGGCGGGTTTAGGGTTTAGGGTTTAGGGTTTAGGGTTTAGGGTTTAGGGTTTAGGGTTTAGGGTTTAGGGTTTAGGGTTTAGGGTTTAGGGTTCCGCCAGCGCAGCTGGCGCCCTGGCCAAGTTGTGGTTTAAACAAGGGGCTCCGGCCCTTAGCCCTAAAGCGTTCGGTGCCACGCGAACCTCGCCCGCGTTCGTTCGGGCGGACGAACGACTGGGCGCCGGACGGACGGACGGACCATCTGGACGCGAGGGACGGACGGACGCACGAGCACGCAAACGTAGCGACGCGATAGGAAAACAAAAACGACAATTGCCGAAACAAATTTGTTTTGGTGTGATTTCGTTCAATTACAAGCCAAAACCGATACCCAAGGCACCACAACTCCAACGTCGAGCCCGCAAAGCCCATACTTACAGCTGCTAGAC